TCAACCAAATGCAAACAGCCATATTGATCCAAAAATTATGGCAGTAGATTTTCATTATTTTCATAATTACTCATACTATTCAAGAATATCCAACCATATAGAAAGATTATAAACCTATTTAAAACAAGAAAACACGCCAAACAAGCGAGTAACTTACATATTAAGCTCAACTGACTATAGAAATGGGGACTGTAAAAGGCATCATCGTGTCGAGCAAATGACGAAAATTTAAACGAAAGACCATGAATTTTGGAGAGATTTAAACTGTAATAAAACTAATACTCTTATCTGCGTAGGATTAACACGAATTCTGAGAGATCGAACAAGAATTCAGTCCATATTTGTCATAAAAACCGTGACAAAACTCACAAACCCTTTAAAGTCCGCCATTTGCAATCGCACGGAACGATTTCCGCACATGCGCAGACAAAATGCACCTATGTTCCTCCTGGGTGGTTATTCAAGCGAGAAATTCCGCCGATCATGACATTTTGCTTCAAATAAGAACTATGCCTGCACGATTGCATTAAGTAAAATTTATTATACTTGTTGATGTTAGGGCAAAATGTGATAAAGAAGCACAGGTTAGTGGAGTGTCGGTAAATGATGATAATTTGAGCACCAATACCCCCAAAGACTTCTTCCGGTGATTGGATACCTGAAGTTGATGTGAATGGTTTGACTAAGAAACAAAAATTAGTCGCTAACAAATGCTTCTCGAAGAGTAAGATTGTTTCGCTCGAGATGATGAAGATATCGGTCGTAGTGAAGAACTTAAAATGAAGATCAATTTAACAGATAAAATCCCAGGTCAGAAGAACTATAATTTAATACCAAAGCCATTATATCTGGAGGTAAAACAGTGTATTGAGGATATTTTAAATCAATGATTTATACGTAAATCTAAATGAGCTAGCTTATTCTTCACCTGTCGTTTGTGTAAGGAGGAAGGACTGAACTTTTTATTTGTGCAATGCTTATAGAGAACTCAGATGACAGACTATTTCGGATCGTTTCCCCTATCCAAAGTCCAAACAACACTCAAGAATATCAGAGGACACTCGGTGGTTTTCCCTTTGATATCAGAGAAATTTTACCATCAAGGGTTCATAGAGACTCCTGATCGACATAAGGCAGCCTTGATAACCCATGGTGTCTCTATGAGGGGTAAGAATCCCTTTTGGTTTAAAAATGCCCCTGAGGATCTCCAACGATTTATGGAGTCATGTCTACAGGGACTTCGAGATGAAATATGTTTATCTTATTTAGATGGCATAGTAGATTTTACCAAGGGTTTTGACGAACGCGTTTAACACCTAAGAACTGTTATACGGCGTCTTCGAGATCATGGCGTAAAGCTCAAAGGTAGAAAAATAACATATTTCGTCGAGAAGTTCATTGTCTAGGTCGAGTTGTTTCAAAATACGGATATAAAATAGAAGATCCAACTCAGGTACAAGCGGTTCTGTTATTAAAGGGTAAACAACCCAAAACGCTTCAAGAGGTTCAACATTTATTAGGCCATTATTTCGCTACTACAAAAGATACATTCAGGATTTTTCTGGAGTTGCAAATCTCTTATTCGACCTTCTGCAACGATCAAATTAACTAGTAACAATAAGTCGAAAATAACCAAATAAGCATAGTTCAATTTTAGACCAATTATTGACGCGGAATACGAGCGCTCCAATTTCAGCATATCCAGACCACAACGAACCATTTGTTTTACATAAGGACGCATCTCAAGAAGCACTCCGTGCAGTATTGTAACAAGAACAAAATAGTGAAATGCGCGTCATCGGGTATGGTTAACGAAGTCTGACCTCTGCCAATACAAACTATTGCCAACATTCGATAAAACTCGAATATTTAGCACTAAAATGGGCGGTGTGCGAACAGTTTCGCGCTTATTCATATTATACCAAGTCGTTGACAATATTTACGGACAATAACTCATTGACCTACGTGTTAACGTCTGCGAAAACGGAACACCGTTGGGTCGCAAAATTAGCGGACCACAACTTTACCATCAAATATAGACCTGGAGCAGCAACAAGGACGCAGATGGCTTATCGAGAATGCCAATGATCATAGATGAATATATGAAATTGTGCACCAAAGAAACCTCGCAAGATAGCACACAAGCGTGTATGGTTGGAACTCAGACACAAGAACCGTGGAATACTGCGGTCACAGCAAATCCCGAGGTACTGAACACAAGGGAATTAATACCCGAATTAGTTAACCGCACCGCAGCACGAGAACGAACGAATATGCTGGTATCCAAAAGTTTTGGTCAAAAGCTGAAATCTGATTGCATTGCATAATTGATGCACGCACACATCGGACGACAGTAAAGACGAGAGCGAACAAATATGTAATTAAATAAACAAGAGTTAATTTGCATAAATGCATGATCATGAGTCATGAGATTTTTTACAAATTGAAAAACCCAAAGGGAATAAGAATATAAAGTAAAGACGTACATGCAGTTATTTATACTAAAAAGTGGACACCATTGCAATAATATGTATATATAGCATTGTTAAGAACTAAAAACTGAACCATGCCTCCGAGACGAGTTAAACCCATTCGAGAGGTAGAAAGGACCTTTTAAAATACAAGAACAATATAGGCGAAATGGTCCAGTTCGAGATATTGTTGTGAGTGACATCGCGCAAGATAAACTTTTTATGAATATATCCGACAACGTGCAAAAGCTGTATGCCAATACAACTCTTACTGTTGAGACAAGCAGGTCGTAGAACAAACCAAAAAGCCGCCCATGCAACGTTGGCAAGTAATGAGTTTAAAGCGTTGTTTCTCGATCTCAATAACATTCATCGACTTTGGGCGACGGTAATACAATGTCATTAATCCTATAGCACAAAAGAAATGAATAATTAAAAGTAACAGGAGTTTCAGACGTCGTCCATGCTCTGTTGACGACGGCAAAATCGCTCATCAAAATTGCTCTGAAGCTTAAAGCTCTGTTTTACTCGTTCTAAACTGTATTAAAATCATACCAAAGTAAATCCAAGACAATATTTCCAGTCAATCATTTACGCCGTCTTAGACGCATAAACTCCATATTATTTAGCTGCATAAAACTGAGATTTAGGACCTCCATTTGATTGTCCATATGCCATATAAAGTTGCGTGTTTCATTGTATAATGTACTGTATAAAGTTTCGTGTGACACAAGTTCAAATTGAACTATTTCCCAACAGGTTTTAACAATATATATATATATATATATATATTTGTTAAATAACAAACTCTTTCTACCTTACCGAACTACAGTGATAAAAATATAACGATATACATATATAACGATATTAAGGGACCAAGCTCTTGATTTGATTTTTGGATAAATGCTTGGTGGTACAAAATGTCTCGGTCTTGTTGGCCTAGGTTTATTAACGTTTATATTTGTTGCTAATGGACGCCCATTTCGCGAGCAAGATACTAGATTTGGCATAAACGATGATCCTGCTGAAAGCCAACCGTTTAACTTGGTCGAAAGGGATGAAGGAAGGGCAATTTTAGCCCCCCATATCGCTGATCATCGTGGATCAACAGCAACACCCAAGCAAGTGTCATGTTGTACGGATAATGCTGATCCTAGTGAAAAGATTGATTGTGTACTAAAACTAAATGCTTTATACAATTTGGCTCGTGCTGAACGGATCTCCTATGGTTCTCCTGTTGATGAGCCTCAAATCCGGGGACTAAACTATTGGGAAAATCGTCGAACAGACCTACAGCTAAGTTAGAACTTTTTTCTGGTTTTTAACTTTCATTACTATCCTGATGAGATCTGCATGAGAAGGATGTCGATTTGTTCAAAACAGCTCTGCATTGACGTCATTGGGACATGTCCTTTCAGTCCGAACAATGCACGTAGGCGAAAGTTTTTCAATGCTAAAGTTCGCTATTATTCCAACACAGATGCTGAGTTTAATATCGAAAAAAATCCTGGTTCACCTCATGCAGACTCTCCTTTTAATAATCGCTCATCTAGGAACGCTATAAACCGCTGTTCAAATGTTGGGTCTTGCAATGCCTTCCGCATTCCAGTCCGTATAACTAACAGAATGGGTGCTTATGATAACTCCCTCTATTGTGTGAAATGTCAAGTCTGTCCATTGAACTGTGTCAACATACCATTGTCTCCGAGCATCCATCAATATCGATCTACAACGGCACTTAAACTTTGTACAATGAATGTTAGATCTATAAAAAACAAATCTGCGGATTTCACTGATTATGTTTGTTCTTGTAAAGCTGACCTGTTCGCTTTAACTGAAACATGGCTAACAAATGATGACACTGCCCACAAGAGAGAAATTACACCAGATGGTTTCAACTTGATTAGTCATTCTCGGGTAAATCGAATGGGTGGTGGAACGGCGTTGTTGTACAATCAATCTTTAAAAGTTCATAAAGTCGCAGCAGACGTGCGGAGATCGTTTGAATATCTAGAGTCGATTGTTCCTTGGGGTGCCTTTAAAGCGCGATTAATCATCGTTTATCGTCCTCCGTACTCGATGGCTCACCCTACTACACTGTCAATGTTTGTATCGGAGTTTGCTGATTATTTGGAATCCATCATTTTGTCGCCAGAGTCCCTTATTATAACGGGCGATTTTAATATTCATGTTGATGACAGGAACAGTCTCGATTCGGTCAAATTCCTTGATTTGCTAGACTCTATGGGCTTACAACAACATGTTGATAAGCCGACGCATGAACACGGGCATATCCTCGACTTGGTTGTTACCTGTCAATCGGACAGTTTAATAATTGGAAAGCCGATGACGGATCGATTATTCTCCGACCATATGTCGGTGATGACCACGTTAAAATCAACTAAACCACCCATAACATTCAAGGAGCATACCTATAGGAAAATAAAATCTATTGATGTTGATTTATTAACAAAAGACCTCGCTGCATTTGACTTATGTAAACATACTCCTGACGAGCTTAATGGCCTTGTTGATTGTTACAACACCACTTTGGCAAAATTATTAGACAGACATGCTCCACTTCAGACAAAACGTGTTTCCGTCAGACCTCGGGTACCTTAGTACAATGAAGAGATTTTGATAGCTAAGAGAAGGCGAAGAAAAGCAGAGAAAAAGTGGCGTCTAACTAAATCTGTTGTGGACCTCAATCAATACAAGCTCAGTAGAAATTTTGCGACAAATTTAATGAATAAGGCTCGTACCAACTATTATGAGAATCTTATAGATGAGAATAGTTCTGATCAGACTAAACTTTTCAAGGTAACGAAACACCTCACCGAATTGAAGGAAACACATCTGCCTCCTCATTCAAATACTGCGGCGCTTGCTAATGATTTTGGGAATTATTTTGTTGTCAAAATTGAGGTAATTCGTTCTGGTTTTCCTGATTCTCATGATGTTTCCTATCAGTCTGTAACAGTTGACCAGCCGGACTGTAACCCATTTGAAAATTTTAATATTTTGTCTGAGGAAGAAGTCCGTGATATAATTTTAAAGTTGTCCAAGAAGACTTGTGCATTGGACCCTATGCCCACTTCTCTGATTATCAAATGCATGGACGTACTCCTCCCTGTTTTAACCACTATGGTTAATATGTCACTACAAAATGGTTATTATAATAGGTTTTGTTTGTGGAAACTCCACGTAAATTTATTACTTAAAATGGTTATTTCGCGGACAATTGGAAAGAGGCTTTAGTCCTTCCTATCCTTAAGAAGATCGGATTAGAACTCCTTTTCAATAAGTATCGGCCTGTTAGCAACTTATCATTTGTGTCAAAGGTCACAGAGAGGGCTGTCTTTGCACAAATTCACCAGCATATGATGTCAAATAGTCTGTATCCATCGCTGCAGTCAGCCTATAGACAGAACCACAGTACAGAGACGGTGCTATTAAAAGTTAGGAGTGACATACTTATGAAAATGAATTCCCAGGACGTTGTTCTCTTAGTATTGCTAGATCTTAGTGCCGCCTTTGACACAGTAGACCACGAAATTCTTCTGAGTAGGCTTCACTCTACACTCGGTATCACTGGTAAAACTCTAGATTGGTTTGCCTCGTACCTTACTGGCAGGAGTCAGCGTATATCTATCTCAGGTGTTCTATCAAACTATTTTCAGTTAAGTTGTGGAGTTCCTCAGGGTTCTTGCCTTGGTCCCCTGCTTTACGTCATCTACGCATCTAAACTGTTTGACATCATCGAAAAGCATCTTCCAGATGCTCACTGCTTTGCAGATGACTCCCAGCTATATTTGGCATTTAAGCCTGATAGCTATATGGAGCAGAACAAAGCCCTAGCTGCGATGGAAAACTGTATACGTTACATCCACTCATGGATGAGAAACGACAAACTCTTATTGAATGATGACAAAACCGAATTCCTCATTATAAGTACTAAACAGCAACTTGCCAAAGTGAATATTTCTCAGATCAAAATTGGTGATTTAGTCGTAGATAAGTCGAAAGTTGTTAGAAATCTAGGATCCTGGTTTGATGAAAGATTCACCATGGAAACGCACATTAATAAAGTATGCAAAACAGCTTTTTATCATCTCCATAATATTAATTAGAAGAATTAGAAAATACCTATCACCTGAGTCAGCGGAAATTCTGGTTCACGCGTTTATCACCACAAGGTTGGATTACTGCAATAGTTTGCTGTTTGGACTGCCGCAATATCAGCTGGCCAAATTACAACGGGTGCAGAATGCTGCGGCCAGGCTTATCTGTAAACTACCTAGATTTTGCCACATTACACCTGTACTTTGTAGTCTCCACTGGCTTCCGATTAATTATCGTATCGAATTTAAGGTCTTATTAATCACGTTCAAGGCAATTCATGGTATTGCACCTGATTATATTTGCGACATTGTAAACGTTAAAAAGCCCTCAAGGTACAATTTACGTAATAATGAAGAGACCTTACTAGTACCACCACCTGGCAAATCACTTGTGACATTGGGAGATAGAGCATTTGGATCTGCAGCCCCCAAACTATGGAACTCTTCGCCTAAGGCTATTAGGGCCACGCATTCATTATCAACCTTCAAGAGCAATATCAAGACTCTGCTTTTTAACCGTGCTTTTAATGCTTAGATATCTTCTGATTATTGTAATATTTTATTCTCATTCACCTGTAATGCGCCTTTGATAATTTTTTATGTAATTGGCGCAATATAAATTTCATTTTAAATTAAATTAAATATATATAAGTCTTCTAATAAACTCAATGTAAATACGTAATTAATCTTTCTTTTAAGATTGTAATTATTTCTGAAAAGCCATTTTAGAGAACTAAATTATCAATAATAAAAATATAATAGAATAGAAGCGCAAAGGAGTAGCAAATCGTCGAATTAAGCCTCTCGAGTTAAGCCCTTCGACTTAAGCCCCTTTCTCGAGTTAAGCCCCTTTCTCGAGTTAAGCCCCGACTACGCCCAAACCACTTCCATGCTACACCCATTTCCGCTGAGGGCTAAACTCGAAGTACATAAAAAAGAAAAACTCGAGCATAGTCAAAAATTTTGTTCTTCGAGTTGAACCCGAACGTTTGAAAGATGTAAACGAGTTACGGAAAATGCCAATAATAGCGAACTTTATTCCCAAACAAGTTCTCATTTGAATCGCGTTTCGTTCAAATACGTTTTATATCAGCTGACGTATATATTATCAAATTGTATACATTAAGGCGGATTTACATTTCGCAACAGATCGCGCGATCGATATTTTGCAATGGCTTTCCGCTTTGAAATGTGTGCAGTCTAATGAAATCGTTCCAAATATATAACTGTTTGTATTTCAAAAGGTACTACAAAGGGTACACCACACAAAATACTGACAGTCTATAATCTCTAGAGGTCTTATGTAGTCGGCTCTAGGGTTAGATAGGAAATAGCAATCTACTTGACAAAATAAATTAATTAACACAAACTTAACGGGATCGTCCGCTTCCAAGACCCTGTGAGTATTATACATCATTAAATCACAGCTATATCTATGATTAAGGAAAATTTAACATGACAGATGCATGGACTGACAAACAAAATACACATAACACCACACGCACACTGGGGAAAAAATGTGAAATCCATACTACGATCGAACACGGGACGAAAAAAGAGATTTGCAATAAATTTGCACACTTGCAAATTAGTTGCAAATTCAAAAACTAATTTTGCAATAAATTTGCGTATATATGAAGTGTTTTGGATTTGCAACCACTAAATTTACTTCAAATTTGCAAGCTGCTTTGCACAATCTGCAAATTTATTTGTAACTTTGCAACAAATTTGCCAGCGAAGTAAATTATTTGAATTCATTGCGTAAATTGACTTTGCCAAAAAAATACTAATGGCTTTGCCATAACAAATTTCCTGTGGCATATGTATATTTAAATTTACAACAAATTTGCCAGCGAAGTAAATCCGTTGCGTATTTATTACACACTTTAACTCTTCATGACTTTGCAAGAAGTTACTAATACGTTGCAATATGAAATTTCAATTCAATGGCAAATTTATATTTAAATTTACAACAAATTTACAAGCGACGCAGATTCATTGCGTATACTGACTTTGCAAGAAATTACTAATGCCTTTGCAATATGAAATTTCAAAGGCAAATTTATGTCTAAATTTACAACAAATTTACAATCGACGCAAATTCATTGCGTTTATTGACTTTGCAAGAAATTACTAATGCCTTTGCCATATAAAATTTCAATGGCAAATTTGTATCTAAATTTATCTAAATTTACAACAAATTTGCCCGCAAAGTAAATTCATTGTGTATTTACGTTTCAAATATTAACTCCTTTTCTACTTTTCTTTGTGAATAGTTCGCATAATTTTGTATATATATATTCTGTAGTATATTCTCTACTCTTTTTCGTCTGTTTCGGCGCTAAGCCAGGAATCTTGCCGGATGACAGTTGTTCAACACTCAAGGCAGTGACCAATGAGGGAAAAATAATAACAAACCAAGCTTGAAAGCTATTATTCAGTAATAGAGGTTACTTTAGGCACCTGATCACTTTCGCTGAAATATCCCAACATTTTTGCAAACATGCATGTTTGATATAAAGGCCTTGAAGCCTGTCGAGGAATAAGTACAATTACGTCAAAGGATATAGGGTGGACTCTCAAGACTGTATAAAAAGCCGCAGAATTGAATGCATTTAATTAAAGGAACTATATGCCAATGAATAATTGTAAAGCATTAAAAATGTGAAAATAGTTGACTTGTTCCACAACAAGTAAACATAGTACCATGATCCTATCACCCTAATCGTCTACCCTATTAACGCCAGCATCTGTAGGCTAGATGTTCTATGGCGGGAAAATTGACCAATTACGTGGCTACGTGCCATACATAAGGTATACATGGTTTGCCCTTCTTGATTTGGATAAACCTGAATTTTGTCAAACTAATTTATAGCTATGGCAGAGTCATTATTGGCAAAGCCACACTGAGCTTTAAACCTGAAAGGCTCAATAAGACAATATTTATTAAATATTTATTCAATATTTTATAAGCCTAAGCTCAATATCTATTCAATATTTCATGTTTCGCTCGCTACTCTGGTTTAAATAAATGCTTACAAAGCCCAGTCGAATTGTAATCAAGACCCAACGTTTCGACA